CCATAATTGTAATCTTTGTCTTCATAAGCACCATAATATGAAGGTGCAAATCTTGCTTTTAACAATCGCTTCATTTTTGGCCAAGAACATACGTTAGATTTTTGTTAGTTTGCACATTACAATTTCACACACTGCCCCCAATCAAGGGCTTGACCCTTCAATTTATATACTACTAGCCCGACTTTTTTCTCCTTGGGAATTTCATTAGGCTTGTCAACATCTGACAAGACACGATTAACTGACACAAATCGACACGAATTAAGCGGGTTTGAGTGAGATTTTAACTGGTTCAGATGGTAAACGGTTTAACCCGTCAGACACGTTTAATAAACGGGTTGTGTTTGGGTGAGCCCTATCGACCTGTTTATCACCTGTTTACCTGTTTAGATATAATTAATGTAATAATAAATTAATAATTATTTTAAAAAATTAGGCAGAATTTTTTTTTTAGTGACAACCACTATATATTTTTAGTGACAGGTATATATATATTTTTTCTAGTGATAGGTATTTTTTTTTTTTTAATTTAGTGATAGTCACAAAAAATATAATAATAAATTAAAACTAAACGGGTTAAATGAGTCGTGTTATCCGTTTATTAAACGAGTCGTGTATGAGTTTACATGTTTTTTATCCATCACACGTTTAACCCGATACGTAACCGTTTAACCTAACACGTTTGACACACCCAAATTTCATGATAGTCAAAGAATTGTTCTACTTTGGCTTACCAATCTAGAAAATATTCTTTATTAACGTAATCATCAAAACTGGATAGGTTAAGTTTCATAGAGAAATTTCTAAACTCATAACTATATCCTCTATGTATTCATAACGACCAAGTATACATGTAACATACACTTCATCATCATTATCACTTGGATCTACATCATAAATATGTTGTTGTCTGAAGGGGATAGGATTGAAATTTCGAACAAGTCGATCACGAGCCCTATCATTATTGCGAATCCTATTCCAATCTGCATCTTGGTATGTTCTAAAGGTTGATCAAGCAATCGAATCATGGGACTCACGGTGGGCTTGTTGGGATAAACGCCACGAACTAAAGAAGTTGGCTCTCGAAATAACTATTTTCTCATAATCACCGTTATAATGAAAGTTGTCACAATTTCACTGATTAGAAATTATGCCACGTTAGTCAAGACTCTGATACCAATTGAAGCAGCAGTAAAATAAAAAATACGAATAAATCACCATCTCTATGTGTATAGAACACACACATAAGCCTAAATCCAAAGGAAATATAAGAGAAACTCTCTGAAAAAACATATTATTCAATTAACTGAATAAAACTTGTAATACATTGGACAATTTATAGGAATCCCGAAACCCTGAAGGTTTTCAAAACGGACCTAAATTCGCAGTCTTAATAAAGTTACTAAAAACAAATAAAATGCAAATCTTATAAATTAGAAAAATTGACATGGTTTAGGCCTCTGGTTAGAATATTTTTGTAGGTGGGGAGTTAACAGAGGCTGACATTTGTGTCTATGCCAAGAATTATCGAAGAGGCAGCGTAGGATAAGTGGATGAAATGAAAGGAACTTGAATAAACTGTTAATAGAGGGATCAGTCAGTTCAGTTGGGCAGATGGTAGGGGGATAGAATAAATCACTATCCCGGTAGTAATTTGTGTCCACAGTGAGCAAGTAGTGTGAGTATTTATAGCACAGTGTCAGGGCAAGTTGGGTTGTCTCAAGGACTGCATGTCGTGACCCTCTGACACTCGTACCAACTCATAACTGCCTCAACCATGATGATACCAGTGACCCCTAATTGTGAGCCATATGTCCCAACATTAATTAGGCGGATGTGACATTTCCTCAAACGCAACTTGGACGTGGCCCCTTGGGAGGGTGCAATAACTTGGGTGAAATGGGGCCCCCAAGGTATGATTGCAATTAGTCATTGTGGGACCATAACTTTGAGAGGGCCATGTACACGATGCCCCCAATGCACTCTTACCCGAGGTACTTCCTTCTCTCTCTGAACTCTTCCTCTAGACCTTTGTCAAGATATCCGATAGAAAAAACTCACATTGTTTCAGTCCTTTAACCACCAATCCACATGTCCCATTATCTAATACATTGATCTGGACCAATGACATTAATTACCTTAGGAGTTCCTCTAGATTCTAGTCAAGCACGTCCTAGTGGGTAGTGAACCAAACACGAGAAGACCAATTCGAGTAGAGTAAACCTTCGAGACCTTACTCTAGGCTAAGGTTGACAATCATGCTCATTCGCCCCCGTTGCTCGATTATTCCTGGAGGAGGGTCGTCCTGCCCTGTTCCTAGGTGGGGACTCCTCCTCTTAGTACACTAGGCCAGTTGAGCAACGATGTCCAGTAAGTTGAGAATACCAATTCTGTCGGCTGTGCAATCTCAGCCATGTGCCTTGTTTCCGCAATGGGGGAGGCAAGTTATACCAAGGTTGCCCCAAACTTTTGCAGCGCCACTCTTGTCCTTTCACGATCAAGTGTCCATTTTGCTACTCTCAATGTGATGAGAATGTGTCTTGCCCTTACGTGACACTGGCCGCTGGTGTGACGCTAGCACCTACCACGATACTGTGGTGCTACAGCATTGGTGATGCTTGTCGTTGCCATGGCACTGTTGTCCGTACCAATCCTGCTCGACCTTATCGGACCCCATTGCCATAGCAAATGATAATTCCTGCCACTTGCCACTTGTCCTTTCATAATATGGACATGTGTCCTAAATTTATTGAGGACTACAATTCCTAACTAAATTATAAATTTAGGAAATAATAAAAAAAATAGAAATATAGAAATTGTCAATCTTGTTCTACATTAGTACTATTTTTAATCTTAATCTTTTATGGAACATTGGAGGAGGAACTTCTTCAGTTCTCTGATGTGGTAATTGTGTATAACTCAGCTCAACCAAAGTTTTGTGTTAATATTTTTGAAGTTGATTACTTGAACCATGTTTCGCTATTTTGCTCTGGTCATTCTTTCTGACTGTGGACTCTCTGTCTGAATTAAAAAGATGCATTACTCTTTATTGCTAATTTGTCAACAGAAATTTTCACTCCAGCACTCCATATGTCAAGAAACTTTACTGCCGCTGCTTTTTCGATGGTGAAGTACAATTAATTACTTCTTCTTCTGTCAATTGCCCCTTCTTATTGAATGGTGCTTGTTGGTTGTCAGAAAGAATATTCTGTCCAGGAATGCTAGAAGTATATGCTTTTTTGTTTAGATGCAACATTTCTTTCTTCTATGCTTTGTATCTTCAGCCTATTTATTTGTATCATATTCACTTGTTTAGGCATTGTCATATTTCTTGTCATTACTGACTGTGAGGCACCATCTGACAACTAATATAACTTCGGAATAATCGTTTGTGTGTTTTTCTAGGGAAGTAAACGACTGTGTATTTCATGCAGCGACATTCCTGGGTAAGTGTTATTCTTCAATAATTTTGGTCCCCTTTTATTCTATTCCAATAAAAAATTTTGCTATGTCCAAACATTGAAATGAGATGTGCATTCCATCACGGCATCGAATCCCAATTGTCTTTCAAGTTTCAACGTATATTGCATTCTGATTCGTTTGTGTTGTTAACTTATTCTATTTCCATTCAGAAGCATTACATTCTGATTCTGATTCTCCATTTGACATTTCATGTTAATATTTTATAGTAGATGAATTATAAATAACAAATAATTACAAAGAAAACAGATATTGCCTATAAATGATAAATACTAAGTTTATAAATAAATCAAGAAATCTAGGTCTCTATGTCATTACCTCTACCCTATTGGAGTAGTCTTGATTTGGCTTTGTAGTTTAAATGTCGTTCTTCCTTTGTTGCTTACAGAACTTGATCTTTAAAGCATCTTAACCATGAAATTAGGTTGAAATTTATAACAAGACTTTACGAAATTAGTCAGTTATAATCAATTTCCTAGCAATCTCCCCCTTTGGCAAACTTTGAAAAATACAAGAGTAAGAAATTTAACATTACAACTCGAAAACCACCGAGAATAAAACGAATTGTAGATAAATCTCAACACTCATTGTACAAGCCTCAAAATCTCAATATCTTTGTACAATATATCGATAGCATTTGAATTTGATACAACTTTTCCAATGTGATGAAAACTTGTATGACTTAGTTTTAAGAATGAAAAATAGTGCAAGAAGAACTGTAATAAGGAGTATGCCTAACTTCAATCGTTATAGAAGAGGAAAAGCTGTTTTTTATATCATCTGTATTGTTTTAAAGGTCAAGCACCAAGAAAAACTGGTGAGATTCATGTAGTATGACCAATGTTACTTTAAGGTTCTACACCTGTGCCTTTTGGGATTTTTGTAGTTTTAGGATTCAAAATCATCCTTCTTGATTCTTGAATATTTTAATGTTACATTGCTATTTAGGAAAAACTACAGATCTAATTGTGATTAAAGAAAATATAATGTTTACCTTTGCTTCATAAAAAAAATATTGGCCTTTTGGCCTTGGTAGATTGCCTAAGTCGTCCTCCAAGGCTGGAATTGGCCATGTGCGTGTTATTCCGAACAAAATATGGTTAATAAACAGATTGAATTGATTTGATGCTGTTTCATCTAACCTGATTAATTAAGTAGTTAAGTAAGTTGCATGTAGGATTGACTAGTACTCGACTTGACCTCCAAATAATACAATGATTCATATATGATACAATGCAACTCAATTACTTGGTTCACTGTTGTTCCTGATTTTTGTTGTCCTTAATTTGTATATGGAAGCAAAATAGATTATAAGAAGCTTCTGAATTTTGATGCTCTTACAAGGAGCCTATATATCCTTGATTTCTGCTAACAAAAAGAATATCCTACAGACAATGCCAATTGCCAGAAATTATTATTCAACTGGTCGTTTAGACCTATGTTTATGGGTAAGAATAAAAACATATCTTGATGTCTTACTATATAATGCTGCAAGCCACATGAGTTCAGCATGACCCGCAAATATGGCCTTATACAATCTCTCTGTGCTCGATGCTCTCGACACTGCACGAATGCAATGGTATCATGTCACTGCCATTTTGATTGCCGGGATGGGCTTCTTCAGTGATGCTTATGATCTTTTTTGCATCTCCACTGTCTCCAAACTTTTGGGTCGTCTTTATTATTACGACCCATCGAGTCGGCATCCCGGCAAACTTCCTCCTACGGTTAACAATTTTGTTGTTGGTGTTGCCCTAGTTGGTACCTTGATCGGTCAGCTTGTCTTCGGCTTCCTTGGTGACAAACTAGGTCGAAAAAAAGTCTATGGTATCACTCTAATTCTTATGGCCATTTGTTCCATTTGCTCTGGCCTCTCTTTTGGCTACAGTCCCAAAGCTGTGATGGTTACCCTTTGTTTTTTCAGATTCTGGCTCGGATTTGGAATTGGTGGAGATTATCCCCTCTCGGCCACGATCATGGCTGAATATGCTAACAAAAAAACACGTGGGGCTTTTATAGCTGCAGTGTTTGCCATGCAAGGTGTCGGTATCATCTTTGCTGGGCTGGTGTCCATGATCGTTTCTAGTATCTTCCTATCCGAGTATGGAGGACCAAAATTCCGTGAAAACCACATCCTTTCTACAGAACCTGAAGCAGATTACGTATGGCGAATTGTGTTGATGCTTGGGGCTCTTCCAGCTCTTCTAACTTACTATTGGAGGATGAAGATGCCAGAAACAGGTCGTTACACCGCACTTATAGAAGGGAACGCTACACAAGCTGCCATTGACATGGCTCATGTTCTTGATATCGAAATTCCAGCAGATCAAGACAGGTTATCACAGTTCAAGGCCGCCAATGACTACCCATTACTCTCAAGAACGTTCCTTGAACGCCATGGGCGTCACCTAATTGGTACGATGAGCACATGGTTTTTCTTAGACACAGCCTACTATAGTCAACACCTAACTCAAAAAGACATATTTCCAGCTATGGGCCTCACTCAAGCAGATGTTGATGTAAGTGCTCTCAGAGAAATGTTTGAGACATCACGAACCATGTTTGTCGTTGCATTGCTTGGCACATTCCCTGGGTACTGGTTCACCGTCTTTTTCATTGAAACCATCGGTCGATTCTTCATTCAACTTGTTGGGTTCTTCATGATGTCCATCTTCTTGCTGATTATGGGAATCAAATATGATTACCTTAAAGAGAGGGAGAATAACTGGATCTTTGCAGCTTTGTATGGATTGATCTTCTTTTTTGCGAATTTTGGCCCCAACAGCACAACCTTTGTTCTTCCGGCTGAGCTTTTTCCTACGCGATTGAGATCAACATGTCACGCATTGAGTGCCGCTTCTGGGAAGGCTGGGGCAATGATTGCAGCGTTTGTGTTGCAGAACTACGCCATGAATGTTAACCAAATTAAGCACATAATGGTTTTTTTGGCACTTACAAGTATGTTTGGGTTCTGTTGTACGTTTTTAGTGACCGAGACCAAAGGCCGATCATTAGAGGAAATTTCAGGCGAGAACGGTGCTCAAAAGGAGACTAACCCGGCTACTAAACTGCGAATGGCTCCTGGCCGAGAAGCCATTTAGCTAGGAGTGATGGCAAGCAGGCTTCTTTGTTCCGCAAAAGAGTTTGTTCGGCAGGTCTAGCACTTTCAGCTCAACTTTTTTTTTTTACCAAACTTTCAGCTCAACTTGAAGGTTGTGTTTTGTACAGTGTTTTTTTGTATCTTTCACACATCTTCTAGTATTCTAAGAATAATGTAACATGAACTTAAAAAATTAAATATAAAAAATAAACGTGATGATTACAACTATTGAATAAATAGTGGGTCTCAATAAATATTGGGACGTATAGTGAAATTAATAGTTATAATTATCAATTCTACTTTTTATATCTATGTAGCATTGCTCAGTAAGTAATTTGCATTATAGTTAACAAGAAATACATCTTTTTTATTTTTTAACTAAAATGCGACATCTATGATAATATGCACAAATTAGGAGATAAATATGTGCGAGTGTGCAACGGCGGAGCCAATATTCAAGTTTAATAGGACTAAAGAAATTCATCAAAGTGGCTTGAGATTTTTGTCTATGTGAGGTTTGAAGAGGATCAAATGTACACAATCAATAAGAAAAAAAAAGTTAAAATCCAAACGTGAGAAGATATATTAAATTTAAGACTAAATTATTTGACGAAACTAATTTATATTTATCCTAAATAAAATATGAGCAAAAAAACAAAAAACAAAAAAACATCCAAAAATATATAGTCAGTATATGTTGGTTATGACATTTTAGTTATTTCTTATTCAATCAAAAAATAAAACATTTGTTTTAGCGCGGCAATGGGCTATTGTCTAACAAAAAATTAAATATTTAGTTCATGCTATCAATTTTCAAGAAATTAGGGATGATAAATTTAATAAATTGAACAAAGTAATGGGTAATGGATAAAGGAGATTAAAAAGTAAGGGGGCATATATGTGTATGTACAAAACTAGATTCAGACGAGGGATATGTCTATCTGTTCAAAAGTCAGGGGTATTGCGTATGTGTACTAGGAATTATCCGTACTTAAAGACATTACGTAACAAACAAAAAATCACAAATAATTGTCGACACTTGGCAACCCAATCTTTTTTTTGTTCCAAGCCAAAACTAAATTAGACCTTTTATATGTAATTTTCTTTCTTTAAAATTGTTCTGGCTTATTGTGCCTCAATAATATTCTCTTCTTCTTTCTTTTATTTTTCTATGATTAATCAAAGTTAATAGACACCACTACAATCTACATTCTAGAGGATTTATGATGCACATATTCACATCAAGATAATTTTATCTATTAAAGATCCACATATAACAAAAATTATATGTGACTTTGAAAAACATCTAACAAAAACACACATTTATCGAATTTATCTACTGAAAATTCACATATAACAAAACACGTGTGTCCATATTGCAAGATCTGACAATAGAACCAAAAATATGCATAGAAATAGAGAGAACCAAACCTGCTTTTGTAATGCTAGCGTTGAGTTGAGCATAGCTTAAGAAGAAAGCTTGATTGTGAGAGGCTGAGAGCATCACTATACACAAAAAACAATATACCCCAATACAATAATGAATGTCTCAAAAAATTATTGACACTAAAGAACTCTTACAATCCTGCTAAGATCTAAACCAAATATAAAATCATGAAAGATCAACCCAAATAATTTTTAAAACAGAACCAATTCATCAATTGCTCGATGTTTGACTCAATCTACCAAGAACATAATGAACATGTTTGGAGCTGGTTGAAATAAGCTGATTTTGTAAGCTTTAGAGTAAGATAAGTAGACTTGGCTTTTGGATCCAGTTTATGCATTAGCTTTTTGGTCCTAAGACAATTTATTTAGGCTAATTCAAGAAACTAATTTTATGAGATTTTCTTCCGACTTTTTGGAATTTTGTCATGGGTTCCACATAACTTTTTAGTTTATTATATTTATAAAATATTATTAGTGACATAAAAAAATTTAAATTCATATTTTGGGAACTATTATATATATAATTTATACATACACGTAAATATTTTTTTATTGACACAAAAAAACTAAAAAATCACTCCAAACAGATTTTTCTAACTTTTTTAGTTTTTTAAAGAACATCTCAAACGATTTTAAATGATTTTTTTAACTCTGATTTTTTGCGAAACTTTTCAAACCGCAACTTTTTACCTAAAAAAAACCAGCTCCAAACAGGCCAATAAGTACAAATATTCGACTTAAAAGAACATAATAACAATTATCAATACTAGTCTGACCAACAAAACATACTACAAATGTTTCTGAATATTCATAATAGAATTGAAGATAGTATAGCATCACAGGATGCATTTTGGTTTTTTAAGCCAATGCTCGTAAAATGTGATTGAGGGTGATTCAAAAATTAAAATATATGGGCAGGATCACGTTTGGTTTCATAATCATATTAGCATACCAAATACCTTACAGATTTGTCAAACAGGCTATCACGTATCAATTTGGTTAAGACAGGGAAGCGATTTACACAACTCCAAAATATCAAAAACTCCGTGGGTCTGTTTGATTGGTTTTTTGGGAGGAGTTTGAATTGGTTTGTTTAAATCTTTTCAAATCTAAATCTTTTTTTATAAAGAAGAGATTCAACATTCAATTCCGTTTATACTCATGTTTGGTATACGCACAGATATATCACTATTATGATAATTTATTTATATATAAATGACTATTGTGCCCCTTAATCAATCTAATCCAAACACCTGTATGTATACGTACACTTTCTTGTGTCTTTATGATTTTATTGTTTTATTATTTAGGGTATAAATATTTAATTATTTGATTATTTGGGGTATAAATATTTGATTATTTGATTAATATTTGATAAGGTTGCCCAAAGATGAGGTTGCAAACTTTGACGCAAGCATGCGTGCTATCTTTCCGAGATTTACTTATAATAAAAACAGCTTGAGGAGTCTAGGGTGAGCAATTTGTAAGAGCATCTCCAACCATGACTCAAATTTTTATTTAAATTTAAGTTAGTATTTGAGTAAAAAACTTGATTTGATACAAAAGACTTTAATGGACAAACTGAAATTTAAAGAAGGAGAAATCTAAATTTAAATGAGGGCAAACCCAAAATTAAATGAGAGTAAAGATGATCATTGGATCTTTAAAAGAGAGTAAAATATCACAATTAAAGATTTGGTTAAGGATTTGAGTCTCCCTTAATTTGAGTGAAAAAAAAAAGTCTCCTTTAATTTTGTATAAATTTGAGTAAGAGTTGGAGCAAGTTTTTTAAATTTTTTTACTCAAATTTGAAGTTGAGTCTAAATTTGAATCAGGATTAGAGATAGTCTAATACTTCAAATCAAAACACAAAAACTATTTGTTTAATCTATTAGAAAGTGTCAAAACATTACAATAACCAAACTAAAAGAAAATTAACTCCCAATACATAGCTAGGTATGACTTGTTAACACTCAAGTCTTATTAGCTAATTTACCCCAACCCACATTCCCCTAAAATAAATAAAGCTGTGATACGTAATGGGTGAGTTTGTAATATATCAAATCCAACACCAACTTCTTCTTCACATCATAGTTTAGCATACAAATTTTGAAACTTCAACCGTTAATATATATTTAAGCAAATAGTCTCATCCTTATAAAGTTGTAGTCTCAATATCACATTCAAACCAGGAACATAGTATCCTCTCTCATAATAGGTTGGACTCTTTGTTGATCTCTATTCTGCCATAAATACTCAATCTGCAAGAACAATTGAAAACCAATCAATCAGCAAGAACAATTGAGAGAGAGGTTAGATAATAAACAATTTAGGAATGTGGAGAAGAAGAAGAGAAGTCCTTGTGAGCAGATTGTGCGCTGGGTGTGTGCATGCGTTGCGTGTTGTGTGCAGTTGTGTTGTCTGGGGCGACGTGGGTGTAGTGGGGAAAAAGGGCGAGCAGCAGAGGTGGGGCGAGGCGACGGTGGTGGGGTTTTGGTTGGTGTTGGATTCGAAGAGAGGATAANTATTTGATTAATATTTGATAAGGTTGCCCAAAGATGAGGTTGCAAACTTTGACGCAAGCATGCGTGCTATCTTTCCGAGATTTACTTATAATAAAAACAGCTTGAGGAGTCTAGGGTGAGCAATTTGTAAGAGCATCTCCAACCATGACTCAAATTTTTATTTAAATTTAAGTTAGTATTTGAGTAAAAAACTTGATTTGATACAAAAGACTTTAATGGACAAACTGAAATTTAAAGAAGGAGAAATCTAAATTTAAATGAGGGCAAACCCAAAATTAAATGAGAGTAAAGATGATCATTGGATCTTTAAAAGAGAGTAAAATATCACAATTAAAGATTTGGTTAAGGATTTGAGTCTCCCTTAATTTGAGTGAAAAAAAAAANGTATTCAAAGCTCGTTTAATCTTATCATATAAATTAAATAATGTCCATCGGACTGATCACCCAACCACAACCACTCATCATCTAACCCCTTGCCACAACATCCCAACACTTCCACAATTGCTCACCATCACCAACACCTCCATTTTAGCTGTGCGTGTAGGATCTTGCACAATTTAAACACGAGAATAAATCTCTCCCGTGGTGAACACGAGTCAGTCAATCGAATGGTCAATCTTACTAGGAGGAACAGACCATGAGAACCGGTGGTAGCCTGAAACGGTAATGGGTGACTTTTGTGGGTCACCGGGATGATCCTGTAAGGCTAGGGAAGATTCCTGAAACAGAGAAAAACGAGTTAGGAGGGCACCGGAGTGTTTTCCGGGGTATCCCCTTCGACGATCAAGTCAGTTTTTTGAGAGAGGAGAAGAAAAAAACACTGTATAGGTTTGAGAAAAGGTTTTTTTGTACCTCATCATGCGTTTTGTGAAGAGTATTTATACCTTAAAAATTCATGATTGTTGTCCGTATGGTCAGTAGGTGATCATTAGAGGCGGGTAACGTGCACACTGATTTTTATGAGAAATGACATCTTCCTTAACTGCTCGGGACCCCAAGCAACCAATGCATCACCCTCGGTCTGTTGAGCATTTAATGACCTTCACTTGGCTGGGATATATTAAATGCTCTGTCACAAGATCATCCCTTGTCTTTCACTTCCAGGTCTTTACGCATTAAATGCTGT